CAGAGAGACTGGAGCGCAACATCAAACATTTAATAAAGAAAACCTCATGAAACTTTACAAAACGGATCAGAATCTCCGTGTGATGTTAAAACACAGCTTTACATTATTGGGAAAAACAACTTTATTGTTCTAAAACCTAAATGTTAAAGTCTGTAGATCATCTTTCTCTTGGTAACATGAGGCCAATTTCACTCATTCCTGGAAAAGACCAGAACATTTTCTGTTTGAAGAGTTGAAGGACGCTCTTTATGTGGAGTGATCAGCGCTTTGGTTGCTTTAATAAAAACTATGGAAAACCTCATAATTATAATAATTAGCATGATCAGTTTCCCGGTTTACTTTAGTGTTTGGGGGGGGGGGGTTCATGTTCATTACAATTAAAAGCTACAGCTGAGTCCTCTCAAAGACCTGGACCTGGTGGTCTTTACCTTTCAGAAACCTCCAGACCGGCACCGGGACAAATCCTCCCCAGCTCTCGGTCTCCAGCGGCGGGTCCGAGAACAGCGCCTTCAGGCCGGCCAGACCTCCGTCCGCGTCCCGCTGCGGCTCCTGGGCCGTGCTGAGCCGGGCTAGAGTCATCAGAGTGATCCAAACCCAGGCCATCGTCTCCGAAGAAAGAAAAGCGGCTGGAAGCGCAGAGACTGAGGACGCTGTTTCATTGGTCAGTCTGGAGGCTGCTCCTCCGGTCTCCCTCCCTCCCGCCCTGAGACGGAGCGCACGAGGCAGGACTGATAATAATAATATCAGCTGGGGGGTCTGGGGGCCTCCCCCTGAAACAATTGAGCAAGAAACACTTACTTTCCTGCATTCTGGTGATTTTGTTTCTTCACAAATTAATGGAGGAAATTTATGTCAAAGAAATTCAGATGACACGTGACAATTTAACCTCTAACAGAACCAAGTCCGTGCAGCAGCTCTCAGATCAGTTCCTCCTGTAGATCAACTCATTTAATATCTGCAGAGTCCTGGTTCAGTCTTCGCTCCTCTGTGTGTCTCTGTTTGGGGAAGTGACCTCTTTAAATGTGACTCTGGCTCCTTTTCACCTCCATGAGAAATGAATTCACTTTAATTCAGTTAGAAACTCCTGGACTTTAACAGCTCCTGGGTTTCAGCAGCAGGTTCAGAATCAGATCTGTGTTCTCTGACAGGCCCAGAATAACATCCTAATATTTAGCGACAGAAGTATTTTAACAAAATCTACCTGTACGTTACCCTGTGTTACTGCTCTGCAGATGGGGCAGTAAGCCCTGCAGGCCGTCTGACAGACGCAGAACTGTCTGGGATTGGATGAGACCAGCACACTGCTCCTCAGGTAGAAACATCCTGGAGCAGAGAGACGCTCAGAGAAAAGGAGTTGAAGTCAGAAGATCGACTTTGTTCAACTCGCACATTAAAGTTCATAAAGCTGATCTAACTACAGCCTTCTAGTTTTCTCAGCGTAGTTTTTTTGTTTAACCTCATACTCTGAGTCAAAACAAATGTTATTGTATCAATGCAAGAAAAACCCCTGAACTCGTCTGACGGACACATTTCTGCTTCATTCCAAGTCCCAGTTTAACGTCTGGATCCATCCTGTTGATGAATTCTGACGACGCATTTATCAAACACTTGTTTCAGTTATCAGAGCTCTGATTGGGTGACCTTTATCGCACACAGGGACTGCTGAATCCAGACTCTGCACAGAGCACAGTTTGATGGATGTGGATGATGGAATAGGGGCAGTGAGAACAGAGGGTGATATAATAAGTACAACCCTGTATGACACGCTCTGCTGAAGCCTTCCAGTAACAGCTTTCTCTCACCAGACAGAATGATGAAAACAACACCTACTACAAGAAGGCGTAAAGGTACTGAACATGTGTTTTATTCCCTGTGAGCTTTACAGTAACAGGAGGAAGGCCGACCAACAGAGCGCAGCTCACACCTTTACAGAAGCAACAGATTTCAGTCATACTCGTTATGAAGAACAGACTTTAATGCTTTTAACTGTTTCTGCGGTTTGATTTTGCCTACAGGGCGTAAGGATAATTTAGAAATGTGTCAGATTAAACGCTAGACCTAACAGCCGCTCAGGGTCAGAACAGGAACAACAACAGCCTGCGTTATCAGACACTGAGATTAAGAGTCTTTCTTTTAACGGACTGAACCAGCAGCACGTGAATAAATGAAATACTGTCTTAAAGGTTTCAGGAGGCCAGAGCAGCCACTCACAGAGCGCTGCTGCTGTAAACTCTGACTGCACAACTCACAGCATGTTGTGCTGAAGTCAGACAATTTATTTTCCCACATGTGAAAGTGACATTGCTTTCACTTCCCACAGCAGCCACTGCAAGTCCTATCCAGACCCGAGCAACGATTCTGGGCCCTGAGTTCTCCAAACCAACCGGCTGAGGAAGCTGGGAGAGCCTGCTGCTGTTTCAGGGACGTCACTAAGACAGAAGGACGGGGGGTTTAGCCCCCAGGGTGTGTGTCAACTGCGCTCGCAGAGCTACACTTAGATGTTACCAGGTGAGACAGACATGTTCTCTTCTTCCATTTTCTCTCTACAGTTATTGTAATGTTAGCTGCGTGGGGGAATTTACTCAGTCCAGACAGAGTTCTTCTGATAAAGCAACACCATATCTAATTCCTCTCTCTTAGATAATTTGCAGGTGCAAAGAATGCTATTTAATGACACTAATAGAAGTTAGTTCAGTCAGAGTGTGATTTTGCTCTGTAGTTTGGCTGCAAACAAACATTCAAGCTGCTGATTAATTTATTTCAGCCAATAAATGCAGAAAGTTAAGTGGGTGACAATACAGCAAATACATACATGTAGACCACCACTGACCTGCAGACCACCACTGACCTGCAGACCACCACTGACCTGCAGACCACCACTGACATGTAGACCACCACTGACCTGCAGACCACCACTGACCTGCAGACCACCACTGACATGTAGACCACCACTGACCTGCAGACCACCACTGACCTGCAGACCACCACTGACATGTAGACCACCACTGACATGTAGACCACCACTGACCTGCAGACCACCACTGACCTGCAGACCACCACTGACATGTAGACCACCACTGACCTGCAGACCACCACTGACCTGCAGACCACCACTGACATGTAGACCACCACTGACCTGCAGACCACCACTGACCTGCAGACCACCACTGACATGTAGACCACCACTGACCTGCAGACCACCACTGACCTGCAGACCACCACTGACCTGTAGACCACCACTGACCTGCAGACCACCACTGACCTGCAGACCACCACTGACATGTAGACCACCACTGACCTGCAGGCATCTACTGACATGTAGACCACCACTGACCTGTAGACCACCACTGACCTGCAGACCACCACTGACCTGCAGACCACCACTGACCTGCAGACCACCACTGACATGTAGACCACTACTGACCTGCAGGCATCTACTGACATGTAGACCACCACTGACCTGCAGACCACCACTGACCTGCAGACCACCACTGACATGTAGACCACCACTGACCTGCAGGCATCTACTGACATGTAGACCACCACTGACCTGTAGACCACCACTGACATGTAGACCACCACTGACCTGCAGGCATCTACTGACATGTAGACCACCACTGACCTGTAGACCACCACTGACCTGCAGACCACCACTGACATGTAGACCACCACTGACCTGCAGACCACCACTGACATGTAGACCACCACTGACCTGCAGACCACCACTGACCTGCAGACCACCACTGACATGTAGACCACCACTGACCTGCAGACCACCACTGACATGTAGACCACCACTGACCTGCAGGCATCTACTGACATGTAGACCACCACTGACCTGCAGACCACCACTGACCTGCAGACCACCACTGACATGTAGACCACCACTGACCTGCAGACCACCACTGACATGTAGACCACCACTGACCTGCAGGCATCTACTGACATGTAGACCACCACTGACCTGCAGGCATCTACTGACATGTAGACCACCACTGACCTGTAGACCACCACTGACATGTAGACCACCACTGACCTGCAGGCATCTACTGACATGCAGACCACCACTGACCTGCAGACCACCACTGACATGTAGACCACCACTGACCTGCAGACCACCACTGACATGTAGACCACCACTGACCTGCAGACCACCACTGACCTGCAGGCATCTACTGACCTGTAGACCACCACTGACATGTAGACCACCACTGACCTGCAGACCACCACTGACCTGCAGACCACCACTGACATGTAGACCACCACTGACCTGCAGGCATTTACTGACATGTAACATCTGGTCAATGAACTGAAGGATAAACCGGTACAAAAATATTACCAGAGACACTCTGACATTAGTTTTCAGTGACAACAACATTGTGTTTAATTGTAACAGCAAGGCTTTGATTTGTTTTAAAAGACTAGATTTAAATGTGTGAGGTAACTTTGATTGGTCAGAGCTCTCTGAGTTAGAAAGAAGAGGATGTAACTGTAATGATTTACACTTTAACCACAACACGTGATCATGTATTAATGTACTTCTATAAAATATGGTGTGTTTGATGAATCTTAAAGATTCAGTTATTATAGGAGCCTTTCTAAATGAGTACTTTTATACTTCAGAAAATCCTAAAGTATTTGGAGAAAATCAAACTGAGAACACTTGACTAATACATTTTATAAACTGTTTATTCAAATGAAAAATAAATAACTCAGCCAGATGATGCTAAGCTAACACATTCACATGATGCCATGCTAACTCATTAAGGTCATGCTAGCTAACATATTCACATGATGCCATGCTAACTCATTAAGGTCATGCTAGCTAACACATTCACATGATGCCATGCTAACTCATTCAGGTGATGCTAAGCTAACATATCCACATGATTCCATGCTAACTCATTCAGGTGATGCTAAGCTAACACATTTATATGATGCTATGCTAACTAATTTAGGTAATGCTAAGCTAATTCAATCACATCATCCTAAGCTAACTCATTTAGGTGATGCTAAGCTAATTCATTCACATCATCCTAAGCTTACTCATTTAGGTAATGCTAAGCTAATTCAATCACATCATCCTAAGCTAACTCATTTAGGTGATGCTAAGCTAATTCATTCACATCATCTTAAGCTAACTCATTCAGGTGATGCTACGCTAACACACTCGGGTGACGCTAACTAATTCATGTACTGCTAAGCTAACTCATTAAGGTCATGCTAAGCTAACATATTCAGGTAATGCAGACAGTGCTAGCCGTAGCATCAGCGCGTCACGCTGTCCTCCACGGCGGCGGGGTCCAGGTAGACATATGGCAGCTTCAGGCCGACGTTCCTCGCCGCGATGTCACAGCTGAGACGTTTCAGGTCGCTACGGAAACAGGCCGCCATCTCCATGGGAACGCTCTCGGTGAAGAGCTGCTGCTTCGAGCCGCCCAGAGGAACCTTCAGGAACATTAAGAGCTTATCAATCCGACAGGCACTCTACCTGAGTTTATAAGAGAAGAAGAACTCTGACCTCAGGCCGTGACCTTTAACAGAGGTCACGACCTGTAACAGAGGCCGTGAACTGTAACAGAGGTCACGACCTGTACAAGAGGGCACGACCTGTAACAGAGGCCGTGACCTCAGGCCGTGACCTGTAACAGAGGACACAACCTGTAACAGAGGACACGACCTGTAACAGAGGACACGACCTGTAACAGAGGTTGTGACCTCAGGCTGTGACCTGTGGCAGAGGTCACGACCTGTAACAGAGGCCGTGACCTCAGGCCGTGACCTGTGGCAGAGGTCACGACCTGTAACAGAGGCCGTGACCTCAGGCCGTGACCTCAGGCCGTGACCTGTAACAGAGGCCGTGACCTCAGGCCGTGACCTGTAACAGAGGCCGTGACCTGTAACAGAGGCCGTGACCTGTAACAGAGGTCGTGACGTCAGGCCGTGACCTGTGGCAGAGGTCACGAGGAGACGTTTAATAGCTTTACAACTCACAAGCCCAAAAGTTGTGTTCAAGTGTTTTAGGAAGGAATCACTTCACAGCCAGACGGCAGGAGGAGGACACGCCTACTACAACTACGCGTGACCAGGGTTGGAACCAAACTTCCACGAACTGTGGATTGGATGAGACCCGTGCGTTTAGATTCTGATTATCGGTTCCTAACTTTCAGCATATTTCAGCTCCCGAGTAATTCCAGCATTAAAGGCACATTCTCCAGAGAATTATCTGGGAAAGCAAACAACAGTTTGAACACCTTTAACCCGGAGCCTCCTGTAAAAGCTCCTGCTTTAACCACAAACCTTCTCCGGCATTAACGACATTCAGCGGATAAATCGGACTCTCTGACTTTAGCATCCACTGAGCCGCTAGCTCGGCTAGCTGGGGCAGCGTGTGGGACAGGATGTTAACATGAAGTGTGCGTGTTGTGTTTGTGGTCTGCGTGTTCATACGAAGTCTGCAGGTTTCTTGCTGAGCAGGTAAACGGTGGCGAGGCCGTGCACGGTGGCGTCCACGTCAGGAAAGCTGTCCAGCAGGCTCCGCTCGCTGCAGCGCCCCCTGCAGGCCGGAGGAGGGCGCAGCAGACCCACCGGGGCGTTGGGCATCCAGCCGAAATAGTCCAGCTGCACGGGGAGACATTCAGATCCAGGATTTAACCACCGGCCAGTGAGGTACAGGACCTTTAAAGACCCACAGAGTCTGATGTCACCTGAGCGTCATTAACGGCCGCGTGCTGTGCCGACGCGTTGAAGATCACCATGGTAACAAAGTATGTCAGGTCCGTCGCTGAAGTGAAGGATTTTGGGAAACCTGAGAGACAGATTTTGAGGTTACTGGTACTAACTGTTCAACTCCAGCGTTTAAATACTGTACAACAGGAATACTGCAGTAAAAACTCCACAGTACGCAGTTTAAATACTGTACAACAGGAATACTGCAGTAAAAACTCCACAGTACTGCAGTTTAAATACTGTACAACAGGAGTACTGCAGTAAATACCTTTGTTCTCGTCTCCGAGGCGCCCAAACACGATGACCTCATTGATCCAGCTCTGCAGCTCTGAATCTCTGATGACATCATCGTCGCTGCGGTAATAGTAGCTGACCACGCCCCCTACGTACCTGCAGTCAGTCAGAGAGGTTACTTTGTTTTTCTGCCAACACCAACCCAGTAATCCTGCTTTTATTTTTGATTATTGTTTTTAGTTAATCAGCTTCATCATCATAGTTTAAAAATAACAGCCGCCACCGCCATCAGGGGCGAGTTGTGTCTGCACTTTCCCGCCTTTTTAACACTGTGGTGTTTACAAACTTATCGCAGCTGATTGGTTAACACCTGTGACCTCGAAGCTCCTTGTTGAACGTTGCACAATGTTTCAAGGAAACGTGCCGAAAGGTTTCGAGATTGAACTCCCACCAG